GTTGACATAACTTATGCTATTTCTAGTAGTATTAAACACTTTCATTCTGTCATGGGAACTTTCTCACCCATGTGTTATTATTTCATTTTTAATTTTAGTCATTGTATGTATTCATGTTTGAATAAGTAATTAATGCATACAAAATGTTAAAGGCACAGAAGAATACATGATGTAAATTTAGTTTTCCTCTCATTTCTCACTTCAACTATTCAGGTCCATTCCTTTTGTGACCATGGATACTAGTTTATTTTGCATTTTTCCAGAGGTGTGGATAACATATGCATATATTCATTACTTTTTAAATTCAGTGCTAATAACTGTACATACTTTCTGCATCTTTTTTTCCCACTTGTGATACATCTTTAAGACTTTCTCATATTAGTACAAACAGAACTTCCCATTTCATTTTAGTGACTGTAGAGTATTCTTTTGTAAATATGTCCCAAGATTTGCCTTATCAGTACCTGACAGAGGGACTTCAAAATTGATTTCAGTCTTCTGACTTTACAATAATCCTACCACAAATATACTATCTCACATACCATTTTAAACTTAGGTAAATGAATCTATCAGATAAATTCTTAAATGTGGAATTGCTATGTCAAAAGTGTGTGCATTTGATTTTTGATAGATAACTGCAACAGTTCACACTCTCACTAGCAAATAAGAGATACTGTCATACCCAAAGTTTTGTCGTACCCAAACCCTTGCCAGCTCAAGTGTCTGTCAAAGCTGTTCTTCTTTGCCCGTCACTGAAGTGAAACAAGAACCTCATCAGTTTAGTTTGCATAACATTTATTATCAGTAAAGTTAAACATTTTGATTCTCATATTTCTGCCTATTTAAAAAATGTGGTTGGTGCTCTCTTCTCATTGATTAACAAGCTCATTTTAACAAATTATCTCCACAACTGTAATATGAATTGAAAATGTTTTCTTCATCTTGCCATTTGTCTTTTTGTTTTACTTAAATCTTTTCTATGAATAATTTCTTTATCAATTAACTTGTTTCCCATTTCTTTAATTAATTCCATCAAAATTAAGTTGGTGTTTGGATGTCAGGCCCTGATATTCTTTGATAATTGATATTTATTTTACTTTTTATTTTTATTTATTTTTATCATAATTGGCCAGCATTTATTTATTGAACTCTTATAGGTACAAGCTTTCGCACAAGCCCTCCTTAACTGTTTTTTTTTTACGTGTTTTTAAACATGGAAGTCTATTATTTCTTTTTTCTTTTACTTTTTCCTTTTTTAAAAATTAATTGAAACACAATGAATTGTACAAATATGTGGGGTACGGTACTGAATATCAATAGCTGTGTGCAATATGTGATGCTCAAATCAGAATAAGCAGTATATTCAACATTACACAATGTAATCGTTTTTTGTGAAACTTCAATGACACATATACTTTAAACATGAGTCACAGTGTTAAACCATTAAAACAAACAAATCCTTATTTTGCAATTTCCTTACCAGGAATTCTCAGCCTATTTAACATGTGAGCTGAGACATTTCAGACCTTTACCCACTAGCTTAGCAGCCACAGGCAACACTAGCTTAGCAGCCGCAGGCAGTACTGTAGTGATAAGGTTACCAACCATATCGAGGACATTTGAAACCACACAGGGTTCTTTAGTTGATTCAATCTTTTGTTTTAGTTGGTTTATCTCTTTATTTAACTCCTCGGATTTCTTTTTAAATCCTTCAGTAAGCAGTTCTTCTTGGACCTATAAAAGGGGGAGAGTCCACTTTTGAAAACCCCAGACTATTAAGAATCAGAGTTTTGTATTTAACAACTTGGGCAGTTAAGCATGTGTGTCCATTTCTTTACCACCTAAGAGCACTCTTTGATGAGTTTGTCCAATATTTCTTATGCTTGCACTTGAATAATGGCAGTATCCAAGGTTTATCGCTTTGTGAGGTTCCCTCTGCACTCTCTCACTTGGGGTGAGGACGAGTTTTGTTACAGCACAAAGAATGCCCTTTAGGAGGGAATGCAGGTTGGATTCTAATTAATTCTTCATTCCACAGGGGTAGCATGGCCATGCTTCTCTAACAAATGAAGGGAACAGCTGAGCCTGCATAGAACACTGGTTATAAAGCTCCGGGTTGGGACAAAGAATTTATTTTACTCTAGTTGTATAGGATGAATCAGACATATATAAAAACAAATGGATCAGATTCAGAGCTTTCACCATCCCCCATTTCATATCAGGCCAAATATGATATTTTTAGAACAGACGGATCTACTTCAGGTCTTTCTGATGGTTGTGCCCAGAATCCTAATGTCCTATTTGACTAGTAAACTAAGGTTCTATTTAGTGGTACATAATGATACTATCCTATAATCACAGCAAATAGCAGCCCAGCATCCTGGGAGATGTCATTTGTACCCTCAAAAGCCTAATACTACAGAGGGGCTGGTATCTTATAGATTTATAGGCCTCAGTAGGATCCAGATGTATTGGAGATTTCAGTGAAACATCCTTTTAGTTTTCTCTCTAGAAAGATGACTGTGCTTAAAGTTTTGGTGCTTTTCTTCCTGAGGAACCAGGACACTGTCCATCAGACACTGTCCATCAGGCACCACCCAGCCCCATCCAGACTCACCTTCAGCTTGTGCTCCAGCATCCTTTCCTGCTCTCTCAGAAGGTTTGCCCTTTCCCGCTCCATCTTCTCCTCCAGTTGGGCCATGTTCTCCTGGAAGCTTCTCTCTTGAGCCTCCATCATTTGCTGCTGCTCCTTCTGTTTCTGTCTGAGCAGCTCCTGCTCCTTCTCAGCTGCCTCCTTCTTGGCCCGCTCAGCTGTTCCACAAAGGTTTTAGAGAGGGAGGAAAACAAGTCAGGCCTGAGTCCTGCCCTCCTGAGCTCAGAACAAACCGAGTTTTAAAAATGCTGGGAGGTAGGGGGATAGGGAATCTCTGAATTTTCCCACCACATACACCAGCAAAAGGAATTTCAGAATGTGATGGAAAGGCACTGATTTGCTGGAGGTGCAACCCCACTCCCCTGGTTATTTTCAGATTTAGCAGAGCATGTGCTTCATAATAGGAGAAGCTCTTGTTTCAGGAAAAGCTTCCTGTCTGATCAATAAGAGAGCACTGCAGGGACACACCTCCCCTCTGAGAGCTGAGCCCTCCTGCTCCTGTACCTGCTGTGACCTTCTCTCCATCAGTGAGGGCTTTGTCTGACTGCAGGATGGATGTCTCTGTAGCTACCTGAGACTGCAGGAAGTTCTGGAGGACTTCATTTGCCTGAGGAACCAAAAAGGAGCAAAGACATGTCAGGCAGTAAAGATCTAGTCCTCTGTTGAGGAAATTATTTTTCAATAAAACCACAAAAATGACCATGTAAGTTTTGTATCCTGCTCAGGATCCCACAGTAGTTCTTTTCCTTCTGTGGCCACCACAAAATGCCCAAGCTGTTTGGCAAGATATGAAAACCCTGTATAGCAGCCTCCTCTCCCAGTGATGCTGCCCACTCCCTTCCCCAGGTTGCAGCAGCCAGATTTATGTGCGATTGTACAAACACATCCTC